GTGTGACACACCTGGTGCAAGGGTAAATGACTTGATTTTTTAAAATATTATGATTATTAATGGATTACTATTTATAGAATGAATGCATCCAGATGCCTCAAGCAGGAGTTCTCCATCAGCTTTCCACGTTAACTAGAAGATCATTTATAAATATGACAAGAGATATTGGATACTATTGGCTGAGAATCTTTGTGTACTTTATGCTTAGCATCGTAATTGGCAGTATATATTTTAATGTTGGCACCAAATACAACTCCATTGCAGTAAGAGAATACCAAAAAATATTCCTAACCATGGTTAAGCTCGTTTGTTTTTTTTAAGGCAAGGATTGGCTGTATGGCTTTTATTGGTAAATTTCTTACATTTATGTCAATTGGAGGTTTTCCATCTTTCATTGAAGAGATTAAGGTATGGGATAGTTCTGAATTGTCTTGTTTTCATATCCAGTGATATTTTCTTCAGGTTTTTAATCATGAGAAACAAAATGGTTACTATGGTCCCATTGTGTTTACTCTCGCAAACACACTCTCTTCCATTCCTTATCTCCTTCTTATTTCATTGATATCAACAAGTGTATTTTATAATATGGTTAAACTCCACCCAGGCTTTGATCACTTCATATTTTTTGTGTTGAACTTATTTGCATCTGTGAGTGTGGTGGAGAGCTTGATGATGTGTGTAGCATCAATTGTTCCTAATTTTCTCATGGGAATAATTACAGGATCTGGAATCTTGGTAAAATCTCTTTATATTTTTTAAACCGTTTCTAATACGATTTTTCAGGGGTTATGCATGCTTGTTGACGGATTTTTTAAACTTGCTAATGAACTGCCAAAAGGCTTTTGGAAATATCCAATGCATTATATAGCATTTCAAACATATTTACTTCAGGTAAACAAATAATATTTACTTTCTTGAAATTAATAAAATTATAACAGGGTCTTTATGAAAATGATTTTCAAGGGCTTGAGTTTGATAATAATGATATTTCTGAAGGAAAGCTATCAGGAACAACAATTCTTAAACAGTATCAAGTAGATCTCTCAAGATCTAAATGGTTGAACTTTATAATCCTGTTAAGCATGATTTTGGTTTATCGAGCAATTTTTATTACTATCATCAAACTCACTCAGCTCATAGATGGGAAAACTCTGATGTTTAAAATTAATAGTAGGACCTCTAAGAAAATAAATGCTTAAAATTAAAAGTATGGCTTTGTGAGCTTGTCATTCACGTTTCACTTATCATATTTATAAATGATCTTCTGGCATTTGGAGCTACATTAGTAATCATAATTTTATAAAAAGTTTATGTGTCACCCGAATTGTCTTCAACCTTCACCTACCTTTTGTGTGGAGCAAGTTCAAATGCAAAATGAGAACTGGAACACAATATGCTTTTGTAGGAAATGCATTTGTAAGCACTTTGATTTCTTCGTAATTATCTTTCGAGTTAGCCAAATGCCTTAGTCATGTAATTAGTGACACCCATGAATGGGATTCCCACTGCCCCTATCTCCTGTTCAGATCATTAAGAAAATTTTCCTAAAAAGTTATACAGATGAAAATACCTTAAACGCTGTCAAAGTCCGAATTGATAAAAAGAATACCACGCTATCTTCCATGGTATTTCCAAAATATACAAGCCACGTTGCTTGAGAGATTAAGCAAAGATTATTAAACTGCTAAAACACTGTCTGGTGAATTTGACGTGATAAAAGTGCGCCTGGATCTAATCACATATCAAGCAGATGCTCTGCACAGAAAATCATCAAATAAATCAGACATAATAATTACTTCTCTAAACCACTAAGAGATGACTGCGTTTGGGTGTCCGAAGTAATGCTCACTTTTCGTTTCTTCCCTCCACTCAATCCACGCGAGAACCACTGTCTCCAAGCCCTATCTCACTCTCAACCATCTCCATCTTTTGGCTGCGTGGTAGGCTGCCTCAAATAAGCAGAGTAAGTGATTGTCTCCAGAACAGTGAGCTTTCCCAGCAAAACATGCTCTTGATTTACATAAGCATCTGATAGAAAGCTTGAGAATCACTAAATCAAATGTTTATACACACCGCAGTTCCATGCCTCATGTTTGTCCGGAAATTCCCATTGGATCCTTCTCACCTCACAATCTACCTGTGATGAACGACAATGCAAGAATCTTAGTCTCAAACACGTGATCAATCTTTAGAGAGTCTTGCGACGTCACTGAAAGACTCGTTGACTTTGGAGATGGGTTGCGTAAAGTATATATATCCCACCACACAAACTTTTGTTTGAGTTGATGCGAAACGAATATACTAGTACATAGCGCTCAAGAACCCTAGAATCGGAAGGTAACGAGCTCGGGATCAATGCCGGCGGGCGCCGTGCTTCCCTGGCCTGGATCGTGTGCCAGCTGCTTGGCAATCGCCATAGCGGTACCCAGGTAATCTTTGTGCTGCTGGAGCAGTGGGAGTTTGGTCCATTCCTTGTGTAATGTGGCCTTGGCGGTGGTGTTGATGCTGTTCTTCTCCTCGTATTTCCAGTTCCCAGTCTGCCACTCGAATTCGTAGAGGGGGAGAAAGCGCTGGCCATAGTCCGCCACGAACTCTATGGCGCACAGCAAGAAATGGAACTCTTCCTTGGAGAGGAAGTATGCGAAGTTCAAGCGCGTCCATCCAGGTTTGACACCGCTATATCCCTGTGAGAAAAAAAAAACCTTTCCTCGTTAGAAAAAGCTCCTTGGTGAAACCTTCTATTGTTTTGCTTCTCAACCTCTTGAATTGCTGCTCGAAATTTCAGGGAGAGCTCATCACTGACTTTGAGAAGCGAGTGGCCGTAAGGACCGGCACACGAGCACCCTCCTCTCGACTGGATCCCAAACAAATCGTTGAGGAGCTTGGCTACAAACCGGCCTTGCAGCACGGTTTGCTGGATTCCACCGTTGGAATCAGTGGTCCGGACGAGGAACGAGACGATCGCTGCTCGTTTCACTTGCGTGTTCCCGAGCACCACTATCTTTCGGTTCTTGGACAATCTTTTCAACGCGGTGGTGATGAAGTTGTGCTCTCTCGACTCGATGAGACGGTATCCCATTTCTTCTTGGACAGTGAAGACAATCCCGGCTTTTATCCGCTGGAGTATGGAAGGTGTTCCAGCGTCTTCTCGGCTTTCAATGTCCTCCAGGTAGAGTGTGTCCTGAGTTTGTTTAGTGTTGGTTTTCTTTTTTCTTTCGCTGGAAAGGGAACTGACCTCTTTGTTGTAGTTGACGAAGTCTACCACTCCTCCGCCTGTTGTCGACGGTGCGTGATCCTTGAGCTTGTAGAGCTTTTTGTTCATGCAAAGCAGGCCCGGTGTTCCTGGCCCTCCGACATACTTGTGTGGACTCAGCATCACAGCATCGTATCCATCAGCTTTTTGCGATCGCATGTTGATCTTCACGTATGGACCGCTGTTGATCAGATTCGGCAAGTAAGCTTCTTTTCGTCCTTGTAAAAACTCTCGTCTTACCAGCTTGCGAAATCAAAACATGCTAATGCTCCATGTTTGTGTAGAAGGCGAGCGATGGCTCTAGTGTCCGCGAAAACTCCCGTGACATTACTGCAAGCAGAGAAGGAGCCAAGCATTGGACGATCTGCGTGCTTGGGATTTTGCAACTCCTCTTCGAGGTACTTCATGTCAATCAATCCATCCTCGGTCATTGGAACTTGAATAACCTGTGGTTTAAACAGTTGACAGATTGAAAGAAACGAAACAGTCCAACCTCAGCAAGACTTTGCCTCCAGGGAAGAATGTTGGAATGATGCTCGTATGGGCCTATGAACACCAGCCATCTCTTTCTGTCAGTGATCGCTGCCACGGCTGACTCTCTCATTTGGGGCGGCACAGACAAGCCCAAAAGTTCGTGGAGCTTTTTCGCAGCTGCAGTGGTTCCAGAGCCGCAGAAGAAGAGAGCATCATCCTCGGTTCCTCCCAGGGACTCCTTGACATAACTCGTGGCCAGTTTCACCATCCGGGTGGTCTTCTCTCCGACGTAGCTGTCCTCGGCATGCGTGTTCCCTGAAACAGAATGCAGCGGGTCCAGATATGCAGAAGAGAATTCACGGCTTCACTCACCGTAGGACGGCATGACGTGCTTGATGAGGAAGTTTTCTATATAGAACAAGCAGCGGCCAGAGGCAGTGTAATCGGCATAAGTGAGAAGCCTGCTGCCGAATGGTGTGGAGATTTGGAGCTGGGAGCCGATGATCTGGGATCTGAGCCAGACACACTTTTGCTCATCGTCAAAGGGCCTGAAGAACTTGAAAGGATTGGGCTTGAAGTTTGGCTGCCAATCCTCCTCGATGCTGGGAGTTACCTTGCCGACCTTGGAAGCCGACTTTGGAGTAAAGCACCTCATCGTCTTACCGGTGAGCCTCTCCTACTTTGCTTGTGATGCGTTCGCTACACATCATTACGGTATGAGACGAGATGCTGTAAGACATCGTTTGCAAACTTACCTGTTCTTAATGAAGTGGCTGCCTCGAATGCACTCCTGCTCCTCTTCAGCCATCGCAAATATCCTGTTTTAGTGCACCGCGTGAGGAAAATGTCTTCACAGATGACCGGTGGATTTCTGTCCTATTTTGCCAGACATATTTTGTCAAGCTTGACAAATTCTAAGGATATCGAGAGGTGTCGGCTTGATTATGAAGTCCTAGTCTTTTGTTGACAAGCTTCTTCCTTGCAGAGCATTGAGGCGTGACATGGAAGAACTTAATGGGGAGTTACCTTTGGGAAAGACAAGATATGTCCAAAGAGCAGTCCTTGGAATGCCAAATTTCCTGAGAAGAGAAGGACAGACTTCGAATGGGAAAGTCAAGTCAACACAAGAAAGAAAGTACACAATATTTTTCACTATTAATCTTCTACCAATCTAAGATCTTACCGTGTTACAGTAGCTGAAAGTCCAAGTCCAACTTGGAGAGCTATAAATCTTACCCAAGTTTTCATGAGAAAGAAGAACTGATATATTATTATGGATGTGGCATGGAAGGATTTGAGTGTGAGCGCGAGCAATGGACGAGTGTTGCTGGAGAGTATGTGCGGCTATGCCCAGAGCGGCCAAATCACGGCGATCATGGGTCCTTCGGGATCCGGAAAGTCCACCTTGCTAGATGCGCTTGCTGGTATAGTTTTCCAAGATTGATTTGGGTTTGGGCAATAGATTAAAGCTCGAGATTCTTGCATTGTCGTTCATCACAGGGAGATTGGCCAAGAATGCGAGGCGAGAAGGATCCATTTTTGTGAATGGGAATCTCCAGACGAACATGAGGCATGGGACTGCGGTGTGTATATAAACATTTGATTCTGTGATTCTCAAACTTTCTGTCATAGGCCTATGTGAAACAAGAAGATGTTTTGCTAGGAACACTCACTGTCTTGGAGACAATCACTTACTCTGCTCAATTGAGGCTGCCTCACTCACTGCCGCGAAGCCAAAAGATGGAGATGGTTGAGAGTGTGATCACTGAGATGGGGCTTGGAGATTGCAAGCATACAGTGGTGGGAGGTTGGTTCTCCCATGGATTGAGCGGAGGGGAGAAACGAAGAGTGAGCATTGCTTTGGAGATTCTAACTCAGCCATCTCTTTTGTTCATGGACGAACCAACCAGTGGTTTAGACAGGTGAATATTTATATGATTTTTAAGTCCAGTTTATTGTAATTTTTATTTGATGTTTTCTTTGCAGTGCATCTGCGTTTTATGTGATTAAAACAATTAAGAACCTAGCTACTTCAAAACGCACTGTTATTATGTCAATTCACCAGCCAAGCAGCGAAGTGTTTGAGCAGTTTGATAATCTTTGCCTACTATCTCAGGGAGCACTTGTATATTTTGGAGATGCCATGGAAGCTAGCACGGTACTTTTCTCAAATTTGATATTCTTTATGTTTTATATTTTATTTTAGTTCTTCGAGAGTGCTGGATTTCCTTGTCCTCTCCAAAGAAATCCATCAGACCACTATCTTAGAGTTATTAATTCGGATTTTGACAATGTTCAAAACAAGTTTAAGGTATTAATTTGTACTATTTTCTGGAGATTTTTTTTCTTAATATTCATCTCAATTTGAACAGGAAGATATTGAAACTCAAGAAAAAGTTCCAGCTTCTGAAGCAATCAAAGTGCTTACAAATACATTTCAGAATTTGCATTTGAGATCCCTCCACACAAAAGTTGACATTCTTTGTGTGACTAAGGTGAACCTTCTAGACAGTTTGTGTGACACACCTGGTGCAAAGGTAAATGACTTGATTTTTTAAAATATTATGATTATTAATGGATTACTATTTATAGAATGAATGCATCCAGATGCCTCAAGCAGGAGTTCTCCATCAGCTTTCCACGTTAACTAGAAGATCATTTATAAATATGACAAGAGATATTGGATACTATTGGCTGAGAATCTTTGTGTACTTTATGCTTAGCATCGTAATTGGCAGTATATATTTTAATGTTGGCACTAAATACAACTCCATTGCAGTAAGAGAATACCAAAAAATATTCCTAACCATGGTTAAGATCGTTTGTTTTTTTTAAGGCAAGGATTGGCTGTATGGCTTTTATTGGTAAATTTCTTACATTTATGTCAATTGGAGGTTTTCCATCTTTCATTGAAGAGATTAAGGTATGGGATAGTTCTGAATTGTCTTGTTTTCATATCCAGTGATATTTTCTTCAGGTTTTTAATCATGAGAAACAAAATGGTTACTATGGTCCCATTGTGTTTACTCTCGCAAACACACTCTCTTCCATTCCTTATCTCCTTCTTATTTCATTGATATCAACAAGTGTATTTTATAATATGGTTAAACTCCACCCAGGCTTTGATCACTTCATATTTTTTGTGTTGAACTTATTTGCATCTGTGAGTGTGGTGGAGAGCTTGATGATGTGTGTAGCATCAATTGTTCCCAATTTTCTCATGGGAATAATTACAGGATCTGGAATCTTGGTAAATCTCTTTATATTTCTTAAACCGTTTCTAATGCGATTTTTCAGGGGTTATTCATGCTTGTTGACGGATTTTTTAAACTTGCTAATGAACTGCCAAAAGGCTTTTGGAAATATCCAATGCATTATATAGCATTTCAAACATATTTACTTCAGGTAAAACAAATATTATTTATTTTCTTGAAATTAAAAAAACTATAATAGGGTCTTTATGAAAATGATTTTCAAGGGCTTGAGTTCGATAACAATGATATTTTTGGAGGAAAGCTATCAGGAACAACAATTCTTAAACAATATCAAGTAGATCTCTCAAGATCTAAATGGTTGAACTTTATAATCCTGTTAAGCATGATTTTGGTTTATCGAGCAATTTTTATTACTATCATCAAACTCACTCAGCTCATAGATGGGAAAACTCTGATGTTTAAAATTAATAGTAGGACCTTTAAGAAAACAAATGCTTAAAATTAAAAGTATGGCTTCGTGAGCTTGTCATTCACGTTTCACTTGTCATATTTATAAATGATCTTCTGGCATCTAGTAAGTGTCACCCAAATTGTCTTCAACCTTCACGTAACTTTTGTGTGGAGCAGAGTTCAAATGCAAACTGAGAACTGGAACACAATATGCTTTTGTATCTCTTAGTGGTTTAGAGAAGTAATTATTATGTCTGATTTATTTGATGATTTTCTGTGCAGAGCATCAGTGGAATCCCATTCATGGGTGTCACTAATTACATGACTAAAGCATTTGACTAACTCAAAAGATAATTACGAAGCAATCAAAGCGCTTACAAATGCATTTCTTTTGGGTGTCCAAAGCAATGCTCACTCTTCATTTCTTCCCTCCACTCAATCCATGCGAGAACCACTGTCTCCAAGCCCCATCTCACTGTCAACCATCTCCTCTTTTGGCTGCGTGGTAGGCTGCCTCAAATAAGCAGAGTAAGTGATTGTCTCCAGAACAGTGAGCTTTCCCAGCAAAACATGCTCTTGATTTACATAAGCATCTGATAGAAAGCTTGAGAATCACTAAATCAAATGTTTATACACACCGCAGTTCCATGCCTCATGTTTGTCTGGAAATTCCCATTGGATCCTTCTCGCCTACCTGTGATGAACGACAATGCAAGAATCTTAGTCTCAAACACATGATCAATCTTTAGAAAACTCTATCAGAATGCACGTGGAGCAAGGTTTGACTTTCCCGAGCCTGGCTGGACCCATAATCTCAAGATTTAAAAGTCGACAAAACTAGCAAGAGGCCAATTCTTTTCAAACTTTCTCATCCACTTGCCGTGCTATGGCTTCTCAAGGTACGTCGTCTCCAAAGATCCATGTCCTCGCATTTCCCGTCCCAGGCCAGGGACACATCACTCCGATGATGCATCTCTGTAAAAAGATCGCCGCTCGAGATGGATTCACCGTCTCGTTCGTCAATGTCGACAGCCTCCACGACGAGATGATCAAGCACTGGAGAGCTCCACCCAATACGGACCTCCGCCTCGTCTCAATCCCACTCTCCTGGAAGATCCCACACGGCCTGGATGCTCACACTCTCACTCACTTGGGTGAGTTCTTCAAGGCCACCACCGAGATGATCCCAGCTCTCGAGCATCTCGTCTCCAAACTCTCTCTCGAGATCTCGCCGGTCCGCTGCATAATCTCGGACTACTTCTTCTTCTGGACCCAGGACGTTGCTGATAAGTTCGGGATTCCAAGGATTGTTCTGTGGCCTGGATCCACTGCCTGGACCACAATTGAGTATCACATACCGGAGCTCATCGCCGGAGGCCATGTCTTTCCCAGCTTGACCGAAGGTAACTCCAATTTAAGTTTAAGTTCTGCCAATGGCAGTCACGTACGCCTCGAAACTTTGCAGCGAAGAAGCTTGTCGCGGATGAATCTGTAGTGGGCATTATCAAGGGACTGGGACCTCTTCATCAAGCCGACGTACCTCTCTACTTGCAAGCTGACGATCATCTCTGGGCGGAGTACTCCGTGCAGCGAGTCCCCTACATCCGCAAGGCCTCCTGCGTGCTCGTCAACTCCTTTTACGATCTGGAGCCGGAAGCTTCCGACTTCATGGCCGCCGAGCTCCGGAAAGGTGGCACGGAGTTTCTCTCTGTCGGTCCCATGTTTCTCCTGGACGAGCAGACCTCCGAGATCGGACCAACCAACGTGGTGCTCAGGAACGAGGACGACGAGTGCCTGCGGTGGCTCGACAAGCAGGAAAAGGCTTCCGTTCTCTACATATCTTTTGGCAGCATCGCGGTCGTGACTGTCGAACAGTTTGAGGAGCTTGCGGTGGGACTGGAAGCAATCGGAAAGCCTTTCTTGTGGGTGTTACGGCCAGAACTTCTCATTGGAAATCCGGTAGAGAAGTATAAGGAATTCTGCGAACGTACCTCCAAGCAGGGATTTACTGTGTCCTGGGCACCGCAGCTACGAGTTCTGAAACACCCCTCCATCGCTGCGCACCTCAGTCACTGCGGCTGGAACTCGGTGCTGGAAAGTATCAGCAATGGAGTGCCTCTCATGTGTTGGCCTTGGGGAGCTGAGCAAAACACCAACGCAAAGCTGGTTATACACGACTGGAAGATTGGAGCTGGATTTGCAAGAGGGGCGAATGGACTGATCGGCAGAGGCGACATCGAAAAGACGCTGCGGGAGGTGATGGATGGGGAAAGAGGGAAGCAGATGAAAGACACTGTTGAGGTGCTGAAGTGCAAGGCAAGGAAAGCTGTGGAGAGTGGTGGTCGATCCGCTGCGAGCTTGGATGGATTTCTTAAAGGCCTCAGCAGCCAGTGATGCAATGATAAGTTATCACTGCAAGTGCTAGCGTGAGATGGCAAACATGTGAAAAACTTACATGCCGCGAATTTGTCAAGCTTGACAAAACATGAAGCGAATAAAATATTCGTCTACCTTGCAACCCCTTTGTTGACTGGAAAAAACAGGACCGAAATCCACCGTTGAATAGCACTGATCTCTTTCTCATCACATGTAAATGCCGTGATCCATCGCGCCATGTTTGATCAGCCATGACAGAGCAGGATTCTTAGTGAAGGCTGAAAGGGAGCAGCAGGAATAGTGCCACAGCATTAAGGATAGGCTCCCAGCGTAGCAGGCTTCTCATTGCTTCTCATTACACTGCCTCTGGCCCCTCGTTCTCTATAGAAAACTTCCTCATCAAGCACGTCGCCCTATGGTGAGTAATCTCTTCTGCATATCCTGGAATTCTGTTTCAGGGAACACGCATGCCGAGGACAGCTACGTCCACCCGGATGGTGAAACTAGTTATGTCAAGGAGTCCCTTGGAGGAACCAAGGATAATGCTCTCTTCTTCTGTGACTCTGGAACCACTATAGCTGTGAAAAAGCTCCACGAACTTTTGGGCTTGTCAGTGCCACTCCAAATGAGAGACTCATCCGTGGCATCGATGACAGGTGTTTATAACTGCCCGTGTCCCCCGTATCACCTCTGCTATTATGATCCGGTGCAAAAAGACAGAGATCTAGTCACCCTAGACTATGCTACGCCACCTCTTGAGGTTCCTCACCACCCAACCACCCCCGAGCTACCTCAAAAGCTCCACTGCACTGCCGCTCCACTGTGAGCCCTAAGGTAGGTTAGTCCCTTACCCTAACATGCCTTAATATACCCTATTAAATGACCAATGTTGACCACGTAGTCAAAACTGGCACCTAACAATTCTTCCCTCCCAACAAAGTCCTTGTCCCAAGGACGAGTTGTACCGGTAATCACCCTTTATGGGGAACCCTGCTCAAGCTCCTGGTCTATCTTCCACAGCCGTATACATCAAGGAGGCATTGGGCCTGGCACTCTGAGATAGTACACCTTTCAATTGGTTGACATAAAATACTGGATGAATTTTCATCCCAGCTAGCAGCCACACTCGATAAGCCACTTTACCAATGCGCTCCAGCACTTCATATGGATCAACATATCGATGGGAAAGTTTATCACTCTTCCCTGTCCGTAAAGGCACTAAGGTGTTCTGTCGCTCACTTGACGAAAAGATCACTCGCACAAAGACGAGATCACCCACCTTATATTCCCGGAATTGGCGATGCTCATTGGCAAACTTCTTCACTCTATCCTGAGCTACTTGTAAATTTCGTTTGCACACCACCAAAATCTCATCAAGTTCTGTGGCCAAACTAGTCGCCTCAGAATCAAGATTATCTTGAACGTCCTTACTCAAATGCAAACCCAACTCCACCGCTGTTCGAGAATGCCTTCCAAACATGGCAAAATAAGGACTTAGCTTGGTTTCACTGTGTTGGCTATTATTGTAAGCAAATTGCACTAACGGAAGATATAGATCCCACTGTCCTTGCCTTTGACAAATGCTACAATGTAGCATATCCTCCACCACTTGATTCACACGCTCGGTTTGCCCATCCGTCTGAGGATGATCTCCACTTGAGAGTTTCAAAGTCACTTGCATAGCCTTTGCAAAGCTTTTCCAAAATCCACTGGTGAACTTTGAATCTCGATCACTAATGATGTCCTCCGGCAAACCAAAATCAGGAAAAACCTTCTCCAAGTAAACCGCAGCCAAGTCTGAGGCAGTGACAGTCTTCCGAAAAGCCAACAACCACACATACTTCGTCAACCGATCCACTATGACCCATACTTGCTCCTTTTGCCTCTGTGTTCATGGCAAACAAGTGATGAAGCCCATAGAGATACTACACCAACGGCTCTGAGGAATAAGTAAAGGTTACAAAAGTCCCCCCAGCTTCTCTTGTGGCACCTTAACCCGCTGACAAAGTTCACATGATTTACAATACTTGAGGATATCAGCCTTCATATTCCTCCAATAAAAGTTGCGCTTAATCAACTCATATGTCTTTTTCCCCCCAAAATGACCGGCCTCTGGACGATCATGATAGTGGAATAAAACTTGAGTAATTAACACATCCACCTATGGCAAATATACACGGCCATTGTAGTACAGAATCCCATCCACCAATGAGAAAGGGGCTTCCATCTGGTCTCACAAAGAGGCCACCTCAGCATCCTGAGCCTGGGCATGCTCAACCAACTGCCCAAACTCGCTAACCACCTTACTCAAATGATGACAAAATCGTGTTTGTAATGTCGTTACATGACGAACACGAGATAACACATTTGCCACCACATTTGATTTTCCCAGACGATGCTCAATAGGAAACTCCCCAAACTCCATGAGTTTGACCATCTAACGAGCTTGCCTA